CCCCTGCCCCAGGCAGAATCCGCTAGAGCAGTGTTTCTAAATTTGGCAATTTAAAGTTGCGTGGACTTAACCTCAAGAGGGCTGGGGAATTCTGGGAGTTGAAGTCCACACATCTTAAAGTTGGCAAGGTTGAGAAACAAGGCACTACAGCATCTGTGGCAGGGGACCATCCAGCCTGTCTGAAGACCTCATGTGAAGTGAAGATTTACCGGGAGCCTGGTTTACTTTTAATAGGTTTCCTTCCTTCCATCCTGACATCCTCTTACATAGATTACAATAAACTAAATTGAGCCCGAAGGGGAGGCAAAAAGTAGAGATACAGTTTTGGCCATCACTGTGTGATTGAAACCCACCCCTTTTTTACATGTGCCGATGCTCGTACAAAAAGGGTGGGGCTTCAATCACGTGGTTGCAGATAACTTGACTTTTTTTACCTCCTCCAACACCCTAGCTGAATCCATGTTATAATTCAACATCCAGAGGTGAGTAATGCTACCCAGGCCAACATTTATTTATTTGTTATTTATTTATTTATTTGATTTGTATAGCCGCACATTTCAAACCAGTGACTCTGGGCATCCTGGAACCTTGAAGAAACTGCTCAAAGAGTATATTCCAGACAGCCTCTTGAGATGCAGGCCTTGGTTTGATATAGAAGACCCCCCTGGACAATTCCACACAAATCACTGGTAGTTAAAGCTTTTGTAAACCTTTAGCGCTCTTTTCAGCTCTTCCACATCATACAGGGTGATGGGAGTCATCAGTCCAACGATAACGTTCTCAAACTTCCCACTCAACTCAGACTTCAAGTCATCCATCAAATCCTATTGGGAAAGAAAAGGATTAGATATTATCACACCATATAGTGTTTCTTTTTCCTCTCAAGTGCACCACCCAAGATTAAATCTTCACTTCTAATTTTCTTCTAGAACTTATCTATTTCATTCAAGGCAGAAGGCAAAGCTGTATTATAGCTGGCTTTTCAGTTTTCAGAACATAAACACAGATCAGCCCTTGTTTTGTTGACTACAAAATCCCACATGAACTTTGGCAGTGACTACGGAATTTTGCCTGAAAATCCTCATGGCCAATTTTTTTGACTTGTTTCTTCCTCCACCTCCTGCTTCTTGTATGTGATACACAGGATAAAGAGAAATGCTTGAGTGTTTTTTGTGACACGGTCGTTGATCCTACTAAAGCCAAGCCTGGATTTAGGGAGTGTGTTGCATCACAGCACCTCACACTAAAGTGATTTGTGCAGGCTCACTCTTCTAAAATAAGCCACAAAACCTGTCCTTCTATAGGCACATGCAATCCATTAATTAATTCTCTTAACTATGGTTCATCTTGCATTGCCTTAAGGCAGTTTTCTTGACCTTGCCAACTTTAAGATGTGTGGACTTCAGCAGCTAACATGGGGAATTCTGGGAGTTGAAGTCCCCGCATCTTAACGCTGACAAGGTCAAGAAACACTGCTTTAAGGCATCAGCTGAATAAGATAAAATAAATGTGTTTATCTATCACACTAATCCCCCTTTAATGCCTTTTTAATGTATGGCCCGTTTGATTTTTAAATGCCTTTTACATTTTTTATTCATTGGATTCACACCCCATTTTTCTATTTTAGCAATGACTTTTTGCAATATTAATCTCATGGAAGCTACTGCAGTAGAAGTGTAAAATATAAACTACGGAGGAGCGAAAGAGTTTTCCTCTGCTCGTGTAGAAAGGATTCCTGCACACCAAAGGTGACAAAGCAAGGGGCTATTTGCCACTTTGAAGAATCCACAGTAGCATTCCCCTACATGCCGAATTGTACTTTACACCTAAGGCAGGTAAACTCCCTCTCGTCCCTTAAGGGAGGGGACGCGTCACAAGACACCCCATTTACAGTCCCACTGGCATCTGGAGATTGTGCTGCAGAAATCTGGGGGCAAAACGGCAACATTCAGCAGTGCAATTTAGGGCTCTCAATGAAAAATAAAGGCTGTTAAATGCATTAGAAGTGAAATAAAACTGGGAAGTGAAATGTCTCCTTAACTCTTCCAGAAAACAGGCAGATCCCACAGAACCTCAGCAGCAGGAAAACAGCTCAATTCTGGCAGCGTTCTGCTAAAAAATGAGGACCATAATTTGAGGACAAGGTTCCTGGGGTGTAAAATCCTCCATTTCCAGCTTTTGCCACTCATGCCCCAGCAAGACCACCTTTGGTCTGGGAGCTGGATGACAGCCTTGCAGCCCTAAGGCCCCCGAAGCTGCCCACCCGAGTGGAAAGCCCCCCACGAACATGGCCCGAGGACCAGCAGTCAGAGCATTGGTTCCCCCGGCTTTTGACTTGGTATCTCAGTTCCAAGAATCCAGCAGTGGTCTGGAGAAAGATTCAGGGGCACAGCAACGTTGGGAGAAGGCCCCAGCCCTTGTCTTTGCTCCCCAAATCTGTGAGTAAGTGTTTGGACAATTCTAGAGCAAGTCACAAACAGCCCACCTTTAGCTCCTGGCATCTCTGTGGGGGAACTCAAGCTGTGTGCCTGAGACCCTTCTGGGCACAAAAGACTAACTGGAGGGGAGGCAGTTTCAGTTTTTCACACATATAATCCTGCAGTCCCTTGAAGACATCTCAGTTGTGGGAGGCAACTCTCCCACCCCCTACACAAAAGCAGAAGCCCCAGCAGGGTCTAGGACAGAGTTTTCAAGGACAGGTTTTGATCCTGTCCAAAGTAAGCAGATGGACGTCTCCATAACCCTCCCAGAAGCCTCCAACATACGGTGCTTGCAGCTGGTGCTCTCCAGGAAATATGCCAGGAGGGGAAAGACCAAATTCACTCTTGCAGAAGGAGAAGCAGATTTCCAAGCAGAAACAGGACCTTTTCCAGATGTAGAGCAGGATTTGTTGGGAACAGCAGGAAGTTCTCACAAAAGCAAAATGAGTCCTGGAGCAGATTCTCAATGTGAGCCAGGCAACTGACGGAGTGACCACTGCCCTCTAAAGCAGTGTTTCTCAAACTCAGCAACTTTAGGATGTGTGGGCTTCAACTCCCAATTCTGGGAGTTGAAGTCCACTCATCCTAAAGTTGCTGCGGTTGAGAAACGTGGCTCTAGACCAGCCAGCACGAAGGTCACTGTCCAATTGTTGTTCATCGTCAAAGGCAAGAATGATGAGGCTTCCATGCCCGAGAACCCTTGACGAGCTGGACTCAACCACGCAGCATGGAAATAAATCTATCCACTGTTCCCATGGGATGGCCCCACCTCTGTTCCAGATTTTTTCCAGAGCGGCTGCCTGTAACACAGGATATCTCCTCCTTGCTTATATTCCAGAGGGAATAGGGATTTGGGAGAGTGGGATTATAAAGACAGGTTGGAGGAAAGCTCAGGGTCCAGCCTAGGGTAATCTCCATCAGTCCCAGTGCCAGGCTCATCGAAACATATATTGTGTCAGGCAGCCCATAAATATGTTGTAATATCAGGGGAAAGAGAGCCAGTTTGGTGTAGTGGTTAAGCCCTCAAGCTAGAAACCGGGAGACAGTTCTCGTCCTGCCTTGAAGTTATCTAGTAATAGTTGATCCAGCTCCTTATTTAAACATTTGCAGAGCGGCCGCAGCTCCCAGGGAGAGTGAGAGACAGAGAGAAATACTGGGGAGAATCAAACAATCTTCAAACAAAGAAAGGGTTTGTCATTAGCAGTAAAAGCGATCGATTTTTTAGAGAGAGATCTCTGGGTTAAAGAGATTATTCTTTAATTCTGAAAAACTAAAAGACTGTAACAATTCTTCCAGCAGGGAGGGCCTGCAACACCACCCACACGTACGGGGATTTGTTCTTAATGAACAAAAGGGAGGGTGGGTCGGAGTCACACGTTGCTCTAAGTCACGAGATGGCTTGTTTGTTTGGGCTGGGATGTTGTGCAAACTCTGCCCTGGTGGTCTATGAATTGTGGCTTGCAGCAGCATTTGCAGGAGGTCAACACGGAGGTCCCAAACACACAGTTGCTGTGGCCACGGCGACTGTTTTAACCGCCTCCCCACTGATGCCCCTGGTGCTAATTTGGCACTAAAGCTGGCAACTTGAGGCAAATGCCTTTTTTTTTTTTTTGCAGACCCTCTGATCCTGGTTGAGGAAACCAGTATCCTGCTTTCTTTCCATTTTCAGGTGAGATACACAGAATATCTGTATGTAGAAATCTGAGTTATTTATTTACAAAATTTCTATCCCACGCCTTCATCATGAAGAACAATGGCAAAGCAGCATAATACTAATGAAAATGGTCAAAAATAATAATAAGAGTAAAACTCTAAATACCATTCTTGGAAACCTTAAATAGCTTTCAAAACTATAGAGAATAGGGTAGCCAGGCCAGACCGGTACAGTGCACCAGCTTAAACAGACACCTGGCGAAAGATTTACTTATTTGTTTGTTTATTACACCGCCCAACTCCCAGCAACTCTGAGCAGTTCACAGATAAAAACCCACAGAAGAATAAAATAACGCAACCATGAAAACCAAGAACTGAAGGTGCACAAACCTGACAACAACCAAAGCAAACCCACATGATGCAGAAGGGGGCTTCGCTCCCCCTCGCCAAAGGCTGGGCGAAGAGCCAGGTCTTCGAGGCTCTCCGAAAGACCAGCAAGGTGGG